TTGCCTCTTTTTAAATATAAATCTTATGAATTTAAAATATACATCTCAAAAGTGTAACTAATTGAAAAGGGATTTATTTTGGAATTTATATACTTATTTTGAGAAATGTATAAATAATGCAAAACCCAGTTGGTTACCAAAATTCAAAAGGACCTTGTTATATGATACAAACATACTACAAAAGGTACAAATTATATTTCCACTGCTAACTGCAACAGTACATATAAACTAAAATTTATATCTACATCTACACATAAAATAGAAGAAACTAATTAAGTACAAGAAGACTGCAAATATTATAAAGAGAATGGTAGTGTTTTTGTTAACATTTTTATGTAAACAGCTATCTACATTGGTTAAATCTGTTGGAAAATATATCAACAACCCACTTCTTGTGACAGAGCATCTTTTACTCTTTGGTGAACTATAAAAACATGTTCAACACTATATTAAATTCAATAATATTAGTATCAAAGTAATGTGGGGTCAAGACCAATCATAAGTGTTTTTCTAAGTATTTATGAAAATATGTTTTGCCTTCATACTTAATATAATTCCTAACTTTAATTCAAACAGACTTTGTTAGTTGAATTGTAAAGAAGAAGAAAAAAAATGAACCTACTTCTTGTTAAATAAGCAACATAAAGTCCGCTTTTACAAAACATTGTATGCAATTATTTTTAATTTTTTTGCAGAGAAATAATTAGATTGGCATACTGAATTTAAACAAAATAACTTACTGTATTAAGAAAATTCTTACATCTTATATTTTTTAAAAAACTGATCTAAAGCTAGCAAAAGCCATATTCTATTTATTCAAGGTACTTATTAAAAATAATATAATATCATTTTGACTGACCCTGAATTATAATTCTAGGAATTTTTTTCAAAAGGTAAAGAACAGTAACAAAAACAAAATATATTTTCTTTTTTTCTTAAAGTACTAATATACTAATATTAATAAATAACACAAATACATTACATTAAGAAAATATAATCTAT